GTGGATACAGCCAGGGGTGTAGAGATACAGCCAGGGGTGTAGGATAGCCAGAGGTGTAGAGATACAGCCAGGGTGTGGGGATACAGCCAGGGTGTGAGATAAGCAGGGTGTGAGGATACAGCCAGGGGTGTAGGATACAGCCAGGGGTGTGGGATACAGCCAGGGATGGGATACAGCCAGGGTGTGGGATGCAGATGAGGTGTAAGATACAGCCAGGGTGTAAGATACAGCCAGGGGTGTAGGATACAGCCAGGGTGTAAGATACAGCCAGGGTGTAAGATACAGCCAGTGTAGGATACAGCTAGGGGTGTAGGATACAGCCAGGGGTGTGGAGTAATGAGGGTTGAATACAGATATAACCCATATTTATAATTATAAATATTACCCTCTATTAAACAGGGTCTAATACAATCTCTCCGTTGACTCAAATTATAATGATGTTCCTCCACCGTTCAGTATTATCCGTTATTGTTAATTTATCTGCCTGTTACCCTTCCACCTCTTCCACTTCATCCTAGGTTTGGTTCCAGAAAAAATAACAATCTCAGAAATAGGGAAAAAAGGTAAGGGGGGAGGGGGGATGGTATAAAGGAAATGGTAAGGGGAGGAGAGGAAATGGTAGGGAAGATGGAAAAGTAAAATACGTAAAGAGAGCAACAGCAAATGAGTGGGAGAGGAAGTACACACACACACACACACACACACACACACACACACACACACACACACACGATAAGACTCACTCTGAGTGTAGTTTGTACCGTGGCTTCGTTTTCTATGCTTTCTGATGCAAGATAAGCATTTAATCACCAGGAGAAGATGACTGAGAGAAGAAAGAAATATGGAAGAGGGAAGAGAGAGGAAAAATTGAGAGGGGAAGTAAGGAAAAGGAGGAAGAAAAGTAGAGAAGAGAGGAGGAGGAGGAGAAGGAAGTCACGCTTGTAATAGCTGTAGTGAAGAAGATGATCTACAGTGATTATAACAAGAAGTTATTTAATTTGTTATCAGCTGACGGACGAAGACAAAAGTGGTTATGTGTATAATAGTTAGTGGTGGCCGCAGGTACAGGTCCCTTCACTTGTGCGTTTACAGGGGCTCGTCGTATAAACATTCCACATATCATTACATTGAGATATTTGTTTTAATATTGTTTTAGTTCGATTCCGTGGTATGTTTACAATTGTGGGTTTCTGTCGAATGCAAACAAACACTGGACTGCCACACTGCACAAAACCCAATGACCCCTGTAAATGCTCTAGTGAGAGGGACTGTACACTGACAGCAGTAATACGTCTAGTTGGTACTGATGGTAATTCTTTTTTATCATTAATTATAAGTTACATTGTACCGTTTTAGTGAAGGTACATAATTCATCAGGTATATTAAAGTACGATAAATGTTGGAAAAGGATCACCTAACCTAGTCAAATCTTAACCTAACCTAACCCAACCTAGCCAATCTTAACCTAACCTAACCATACCCAAACCTATTCTAACCCTTTTCCTAACTTAATAGTAACCAAGCCAAACCCAACCTAACAAAACCAAACCTAACCTAACAAACCAGGCCAAACCTAACCTAACCCAACCTAACCTAACCTACCTAAACCAAACCACACCACCTAGGTAGCATTAAGGTGTTTAATTATTAGATGAGTTATGCTACCAAATCCCTGACATCTTATCTTACTACACACTGAGGCAAACAAAAGTATATAAACTCTACTATGAAAAAATATATAGATTTATTTTTTTTAAACTTTCATCTGTGGCTGGTTATTTTTTTCAGTTGGTATATAACTATTTTGGCAATTTTTGTTTAAGGGCATTTGTCCATAAAATCTGCAAGAGTCCTTTTTGTCCACACACTCCGGCTATTTTGTGTGTGTGCGCCTGTTCCTACTGTTTTTATGTGACGTCTACTGTTGCCTGTTTCTGTTTATATATGACGTCTACTGTTGCCTGTTTCTGTTTATATACGACGTCTACTGTTGCCTGTCTGTGGTGTAGCCTGTAGGTAGCCTATTAACAGTCAAATAGGATGCCTAACCATGAAGCCTCTAGCTGTAACCCCTGTAGACTGAGCCAGGGAAGGTTGTCCTCCAGGGGCCAGGGAAGGTTGTCCTCCAGGGCCAGGGAAGGTTGTCCTCCAGGAGCCAGGAAGGTTGTCCTCAGGGGCCAGGGGAAGGTTGTCCTCCAGGGCCAGGAAGGTTGTCCTCAGGGGCCAGGAAGGTTGTCCTCAAGGGCCAAGGAGGTTGTCCTCAAGGGCAGGCAGGTTGTCCTCCAGGAGCCAAGGAAGGTTGTCCTCAGGAGCCAAGGAAGGTTCTCCTCCAGGAGCCAAGGAAGGTTGTCCTCCAGGAGCCAGGGAAGGTTGTCCTCAGGGGCCAAGGAAGGTTTTCCTCCAGGAGCCAAGGAAGGTTGTCCTCCAGGAGCCAGGAAGGTTGTCCTCAGGAGCCAGGAGGTTGTCCTCAGGAGCCAGGAAGGTTGTCCTTCCAGAGCCAGGGAGGTTGTCCTCAGGAGCCAGGGAGGTTGTCCTCCAGGGGCCAGGAAGGTTGTCCTCCAGGAGCCAAGAAGGTTGTCCTCCAGGAGCCAAGGTTCTCCTCCAGGGCCAGGTAGGTTGTCCTCCAGGAGCCAGGAAAGTTGTCCTTCAGGAGTCAAGGAAGGTTGTCCTCCAGGAGCCAAGGAAGGTTGTCCTCCAGGGGCCAAGGAAGGTTGTCTTCCAGGGGCCAGGGAAGGTTGTCCTCCAGGGCCAAGGAAGGTTGTCCTCCAGGAGCCAAGAGGTTGTCCTCCAGGAGCCAAGGAAGGTTGTCCTCCAGGAGCCAGGCAAGGTTGTCCTCCAGGAGCCAAGGGGTTGTCCTCCAGGACCAAGGAAGGTTGTCCTCCAGGAGCCAGGAAGGAGGTTGTCCTCTAGGGCCAGGATAGGTTGTCCTCCAGGGACCAGGGAAGGTTGTCCTCCAGGAGCCAGGGAGGTTGTCTTCCAGGAGCCAGGAAGGTTGTCCTCAGGAACCAGGAAGGTTGTCCCCAGGAGCCAGGAAGGTTGTCCTCAGGGACCAGGAAAAGTTGTCCTCCAGGAGGCAGGGAAGGTTGTCTTCCAGGAGCCAGGGAAGGTTGTCCTCCAGGGACAGGAAGGTTGTCCTCCAGGGACCAGGGAAGGTTGTCCTCAGGAGGCAGGGGTTGTTTCCAGGAGCCAGGGAAGGTTGTCCTCCAGGGCCTGGGAGGTTGTCCTCCAGGGACCAGGGAAGGTTGTCCTCCAGGAGGCAGGGAGAAGGTTGTCTTCAGGAGCCAGGAAGGTTGTCCTCCAGGAGCCAGGAAGGTTGTCCTCCAGGAGCCTGGGAGGTTGTCCTCCAGGGACCAGGGAAGGTTGTCCTCAGGAGGCAGGAAGGTTGTCTTCCAGGAGCCAGGGAAGGTTGTCCTCCAGGAGCCAGGAAGGTTGTCCTCAGGGCCTGGGAGGTTGTCCTCAGGGACCGAGGTTGTCCTCCAGGGACCAGGAAGGTTGTCCTCCAGGAGCAAGGGAAGGTTGTCCTCAGGAGCCAGGCAAGTTGTCCTCCAGGGACCAGGGAAGGTTGTCCTCAGGAGCCAGGAAAAATTGTCCTCTAGGAGCCACGGAGGTTGTCCTCCAGGGACCAGGAAGGTTGTCTCCAGGGCCACGGAAGGTTGTCCTCCAGGAGCCACGGAAGGTTGTCCTCCAGGAGCCGGGGAGGTTGTCCTCAGGAGCCAGGAAGGTTGTCCTCCAGGAGCCACGGAAGGTTGTCCTCCAGGAGCCAGGGAAGGTTGTCCTCAGGAGCCAGGGAAGGTTGTCCTCCAGGGGCCAAGGAAGGTTGTCCTCCAGGAGCCAAAGAAGGTTGTCCTCCAGGAGCAAGGAAGGTTCTCCTCCAGGAGCCAGGGAAAGGTTGTCCTCCAGGGCAGGGAAAGGTTGTCCTTCAGGGTCAAGAGGTTGTCCTCCAGGAGCCAGGAAGGTTGTCCTCCAGGAGCCAAGGAAGGTTGTCTTCAGGGGCCAGGGAAGGTTGTCCTCCAGGGGCCAGGGAAGGTTGTCCTCAGGAGCCAAGAGGTTGTCCTCAGGAGCCAAGGAGGTTGTCCTCCAGGAGCCAGGCAGGTTGTCCTCAGGAGCCAAGAAGGTTGTCCTCCAGGAGCCAAGGAAGGTTGTCCTCCAGGAGCCAAGGAAGGTTGTCCTCTAGGGCAGGATGAGGTTGTCCTCCAGGGACCGGGAGGTTGTCCTCCAGGAGCCAGGGAAGGTTGTCCTCGGAACCAGGGAGGTTGTCCTCCAGGGACCAGGAAGGTTGTCCTCAGGAGGCAGGGAAGGTTGTCTTCCGGGCCAGGGAGGTTGTCCTCCAGGGACAAGGGAAGGTTTTCCTCCGGGAGGGAGGAAGGTTGTCCTCGGGGGCCAGGGAAGGTTGTCTTCCAGGAGCCAGGAGGTTGTCCTCAGGAGCCTGGGAGGTTGTCCTCCAGGGACCAGGAAGGTTGTCTCCAGGAGGCAGGGAAGGTTGTCTTCCAGGAGCCAGGGAAGGTTGTCCTCCAGAGCCAGGGAAGGTTGTCCTCCAGGAGCCTGGGAGGTTGTCCTCCAGGGACCAGGGAGGTTGTCCTCCAGGAGGCAGGGAAGGTTGTCTTCCAGGAGCCAGGGAAGGTTGTCCTCAGGGACCAGGAAAGGTTGTCCTCCAGGAGCAAGGGAAGGTTGTCCTCCAGGGAGCCAAGGAAGGTTCTCCTCAGGAGCCAGGAGGTTGTCCTCGAGCCAGGAAAGTTGTCCTTCAGGGTCAGAGGTTGTCCTCAGGAGCCAAGGAGGTTGTCCTCCAGGGGCCAAGGAGGTTGTCTTCCAGGGCCAGGGATTGTCCTCCAGGGCCAGGGAAGGTTGTCCTCAGGGAGCCAAGGAAGGTTGTCCTCCAGGAGCCAAGGAAGGTTGTCCTCAGGAGCCGAGCAGGTTGTCCTCCAGGAGCCAAGAAGGTTGTCCTCAGGAGCCAAGGAAGGTTGTCCTCCAGGAGCCAGGAAGGTTGTCCTCTAGGAGCCAGGATGGGTTGTCCTCCAGGGACGGGAAGGTTGTCCTCAGGAGCCAGGAAGGTTGTCCTCCAGGAACCAGGGAGTTGTCCTCCAGGGACCAGGAAAAGTTGTCCTCAGGAGGCAGGAAGGTTGTCCTCCAGGGACCAGGAAGGTTTTCCTCCGGGAGGGAAGGTTGTCCTCAGGGGCCAGGAAGGTTGTCTTCCAGGAGCCAGGGAGGTTGTCCTCCAGGAGCCTGGGAGGTTGTCCTCAGGGGACCAGGAAGGTTGTCCTCCAGGAGGCAGGAGGTTGTCCTCCAGGAGCCAGGGAAGGTTGTCCTCCAGGAGCCAGGAGGTTGTCCTCAGGAGCCTGGGAGGTTGTCCTCCAGGGACCAGGAAGGTTGTCCTCAGGAGGCAGGAAGGTTGTCTTCAGGGAGCCAGGGAAGGTTGTCCTCAGGGACCAGGAAGGTTGTCCTCAGGGCAAGGGAAGGTTGTCCTCAGGCCAGGAAATCTCAGGACCAGGAGGTTGTCCTCCAGGGACCAGGAAGGTTGTCCTCCAGGAGCCACGGAAGGTTGTCCTCCAGGCCAGGCAGGAGCCGGGGAAGGTTGTCCTCCAGGAGCCAGGAAGGTTGTCCTCAGGAGCCACGGAAGGTTGTCCTCCAGGAGCCAGGGAGGTGTCCTCCAGGAGCCGGGGAAGGTTGTCCTCAGGGCCAGGAGGTTGTCCTCCAGGACCAGGAAGGTTGTCCTCCAGGAGCCAGGAAAAATTGTCTCAGGAGCCACGGAAGGTTGTCCTCCAGGGACCAGGGAAGGTTGTCCTCAGGAGCCACGGAAGGTTGTCCTCCAGGAGCCACGGAAGGTTGTCCTCAGGAGCCGGGGAAGGTTGTCCTCCAGGAGCCAGGGAAGGTTGTCCTCCAGGAGCCACAGGTTGTCCTCAGGAGCCAGGAAGGTTGTCCTCCAGGAGCCAGGAGGTTGTCCTCCAGGAGCCACGGAAGGTTGTCCTCCAGGAGCCAGGGAAGGTTGTCCTCCAGGAGCACGGAAGGTTGTCCTCCAGGAGCCACGGAAGGTTGTCCTCCAGGGGCCAGGAAGGTTGTCCTCCAGGAGCCAGGAGGTTGTCCTCCAGGAGCCAGGGAGGTTGTCCTCAGGAGCCAGGGAAGGTTGTCCTCCAGGAGCCACGGAAGGTTGTCCTCAGGAGCCAGGGGTTGTCTCCAGGAGCCACGGAAGGTTGTCCTCCAGGAGCAGGGAAGGTGTCCTCCAGGAGCCACGGAAGGTTGTCCTCCAGGGGTTTCCTCCAGGGAGGTTGTCCGGGCCAGGAAGGTTGTCCTCAGGGGCCAGGGGTGTCCTCAGGGCCAGTTGTCCTCCAGCGGAAGGTTGTCCTCAGGAGCCAGGGAAGGTTGTCCTCCAGGAGCCACGGAAGGTTGTCCTCCAGGAGCCAGGGAAGGTTGTCCTCAGGGCCAGGAAGGTTGTCCTCAGGAGCCAGGAGTTGTCCTCCAGGAGCCGGGAAGGTTGTCCTCAGGCCAGGGAGGTTGTCCTCAGGGGCCAGAAGGTTGTCCTCAGGGGCCACGGAGGTTGTCCTCCAGGAGCCAGGGAAGGTTGTCCTCCAGGAGCCAGGGAAGGTTGTCCTCCAGGAGCCAGGGAAGGTTGTCCTCCAGGGGCCAGACCTGTGTGATAACTCAGGGAAGCAGAAGAAATTTAGAACAAAAAAGAGAAAGATAAGAAAAATGGAAATAAATATATAGTCAATATATCATACCTGGTGATGCTGTGTCAGGTAAATAGTCCTTGAAATATTATATTACATTACATTACATTATATTACATTATATTATATTATATTATATTACATTATATTACGTTACGTTATATTATGCTATATTATGTTATGCTATGCTATGTTATGTTATATGTTGCTATATTATATTATGCTATGTTATGTTATGCTATGTTATGTTATGCTATGTTATATTTGCTATGTTATGTTATGCTATGTTATGTTTATATTTATGCTATGTTATGTTATGCTATGTTATGTTATGCTATGTTATGTTATGCTATGTTATGCTATGCTATTTATATTTATGTTATGCTATGTTATATATATTATGTTATACTATGTTATGTTATGCTATGTTATGTTATGCTATATTATGTTATGCTATATTTATGTTATGCTTTATTTATGCTATATGTTATGCTATGTTATGCTATGTTATGTTATGTTATGCTATGTTATGTTATGCTATGCTATGTTATGTTATGTTATGTTATGCTATGTTATGCTATGTTATGTTATGCTATGTTATGTTATGCTATGCTATGTTATGTTATGTTATGCTATATATATGTTATTTATGCTATGTTATATTATGCTATGTTATGTTATGCTATGTTATATTATGCTATGTATGTTATGCTATGTTATGTTATGCTATGCTATGTTATGCTATGTATGTTATGTTATGCTATATTATATTATGTATGTTATATTATGTATGTTATATTATGCTATGTTATGTTATACTATGTTATGTTATTTTTATGCTATGTTATGCTATGCTATGTTATGCTATGTTATGTTATGTTATGCTATGTTATGTTATGCTATGTTATGTTATGCTATGTTATGTTATGCTATGCTATGTTATGCTATGCTATGTTATGCTATGTTATGTTATGTTATGCTATGTTATGTTATGCTATGTTATGTTATGCTATGTTATGTTATGCTATGTTATGTTATGTTATGCTATGTTATGTTATGCTATGTTATGTTATGCTATGTTATGTTATGCTATGTTATGTTATGCTATGTTATGTTATGCTTTATGTTATGTTTATGCTATGCTATTTTATGCTATGTTATGCTATGTTATGTTATGTTATGCTATGTTATGTTATATTATTTATGTTATGCTATGTTATGTTATGCTATGTTATGTTATGTTATGCTATGTTATGTTATGCTATATTTATGTTATGCTATGTTATGTTATGCTATGTTATGTTATGTTATGCTATGTTATGTTATGCTATGTTATGTTATGCTATGTTATGTTATGTATGTTATGTTATGCTATGTTATGTTATGCTATGTTATGTTATGTTATGCTATGTTATGTTATGCTATGTTATGTTATATTATGCTATGTTATATTATGCTATGTTATGTTATGCTATGTTATGTATGTTATGCTATGTTATGTTATGTATGTATGTTATGTTATGTTATGCTATGTTATGTTATGCTATGTTATGTTATATATGCTATGTTATGCTATGCTATGTTATGCTATGTTATGTTATGTTATGCTATGTTATGTTATGCTATGTTATATTTATGTTATGCTATGTTATGTTATGCTATGTTATGTTATGTTATGCTATGTTATGTTATACTATGTTATGCTATTTTTTATGCTATGTATTTATTATGTTATATTATGTTATGCTATGTTATGTTATGCTATTATGTTATGTTATGCTATGTTATGTTATGCTATTTTTATCTATGTTTTTATGCTATGCTATATTTATGTATGTTATGTTATGTTATGCTATGTTATGTTATGCTATGTTATGTTATGTTATGCTATGTTTATATGTATGTTATGTTATGTTATGCTATGTTATATTTATGCTATGTTATGTTATGCTATATTTATGTTATGTTATGCTATGTTTATGTTATGCTATGTTATGTTATGCTATGTTATGTTATGTTATGCTATGTTATGTTATGCTATGTTATGTTATGCTATGCTATGTTATGCTATGCTATGTTATACTATGTTATGTTATGTTATGCTATGTTATGTTATGCTATGTTATGTTATGTTATGCTATGTTATGTTATGCTATGTTATGTTATGTATGTTATGTTATGTTATGTTATGTTATGTTTGTACGTGAACAAACTTGAATATATCTTGTTTATGTTTAAAATTATGTGATATGTATCAGTGTGATATCCTGACGAATTTTGTGTTTAGTGACATTATTCATATGTTGCCTTCATTAAGATATAGTTGATTACCTGTCACATGTTGATGGCACATTCTTACCTGCCTGTTTATTAATAGCACCTGTCGGGGTAGGTGTTGAGGTGGGTCTGACTCTTGACTGGATATATAAGTCACCAGCGTTGACTAGTACGATTGAGGTCTTGAAATATTCGAGTTTTTAACACTACAGCCTTGCTTATACTACAGTCTTGGTTATACTACAGTCTTGGTTATAATACTACAGCCTTGGTTATACTACAATCTTGGTTATACTACAGTCTTGGTTATACTACAGCATTGGCTATACTACAGTCTTGATTATACTACATTCTTGGTTATACTAGTATGGTTATACTACAGCATTGGTTGTACTATAGTCTTGGTTATACTACAGCATTGGTTATACTACAGTTTTGGTTATACTACATCTTGGTTATACTACAGTCTTGGTTATACTACAGTCTTGGTTATACTACAGTGTTATACAGCATTGGTTATACTACAGTCTTGATTATACTACATTCTTGGTTATACTACAGTCTTGGTTATACTACAGCATTGTTGTACTATAGTCTTGGTTATACTACAGCATGGTTTATACTACAGTTTTGGTTATACTACAGTCTTGGTTCTACAGCCTTGGTTATACTACAGCCTTGGTTATACTCACAGTCTGATTATACTACATTCTTGGTTATACCACAGTCTTGGTTATACTACAGCATTGTTGTACTATAGTCTTGGTTATACTACAGCATTGGTTATACTACAGTTTTATACTATTACCTTTTGGTTATACTACAGTCTTGGTTATACTACAGCCTTGGTTATACTACAGCCTTGGTTGCTACAGCCTTGGTTATGCCACAGCCTTGGTTATACTACAGCCTTGGTTATACTACAGCCTTGGTTATACTACACAGCCTTGGTTATACTACAGCCTTGGTTATACCACAGCCTTGTGTTATACTAACAGCCTGGTTATACTACAGCCTTGGTTATACTCACAGCCTTGGTTATACTACAGCTTTGGTTATACTACAGCCTTGGTTATACTCAGCCTTGGTTATACCACAGCCTATACTACAGCCTGGTTATACTACGGCTTGGTTATGCTATCTTGGTTATACTACAGTCTGGTTATACTACAGCCTTGGTTATACTACAGCCTTGGCTGACAGCCTGTTATACTACACAGCCTTGGTTATACTACAGCCTTGGTTATACTACGTTCTGGTTATACTACAGCCTTGGTTATACACAGTCTTGGTTATACTACAGTCTTGTTATACTCAGCATTGGTTATACTACAGCCTTGTTATACTACAGCCTTGGTTATACCACAGGCTTGTTATACTCACATTCTGGTTATACTACAGCCTTGGTTATACACAGCCTTTTATACTAGCCTGTTATACTACAGTTTATACTACAGCCTTGTTATACTACAGCATTGGTTATACTACAGCCTTGGTTATACTACAGTCTCGTTATACCACAGCCTTGGTTATACTACAGCCTATACTACAGCCTTTGGTTATACTACAAGCCTGGTTATACTATAGTTTGGTTATACTACAGCCTTGGTTATACTACAGCCTTGTTATACTACAGGCTTGGTTATACTACATTCTGGTTATACCACACTTGGTTATACTACAGCCTGGTTATACTCACAGCCTTGGTTATACTACAGTCTTATACTGCAGTCTTGGTTATACTGTACTACAGCCTTGGTTATACTACAGCATTGGTTATACTCACAGCCTTGGTTATACTACAGTCTTGGTTATACTACAGCCTTGTTATACTACAGCCTTGGTTATACTACAGCCTTGGTTATATACAGCTCCTTGGTTATACTACAGCCTTGGTTATACTACAGTCTTGGTTATACTACAGTGTCTTGGTTATACTACAGCCTTCGTTATACTACAGCCTTGTTATACCACAGCCTGTTATACTACAGTCTTGGTTATACTACAGCCTGTTATACTACAGCCTTGTTATACTGCTTGGTTATACACAGCCTTTTATACTACAGCCTTGTTATACTACAGCCTCTGGTTATACTCAGTCTTGGTTATACTACAGCCTTGGTTATACCACAGTCTTGGTTACACAGCCTGTTATACACAGTGTTATTACAGTCTTTTATACACAGCCTTCTGTTATACTACAGCCTTGGTTATACTTCACAGCTCTGTTATACTACAACAGCTTCGTTATACTACAGCCTTGGTTATACTACACAGCTCGTTATACTACAGCCTTCGTTATACTACAGCCTTGGTTATACTCACAGTCTTGGTTATACTACAGCCTTTGTTATACTACGCTCCTGTTATACTACAGCCTGTTATACTACAGCCTTGGTTATACTACGTCTTGGTTATACTACAGTCTTTCCAGTTATACTACAGCCTTGTTATACAGCTGGTTATACTACAGTCTTGGTTATGCTACAGCCTTCGTTATACTACAGCCTTCGTTATACTACAGTCTTGTTATACTACAGCCTTGTTATACTACAGTCTTGGTTATACTACAGCCTTTTGGTTATCTACAGCCTGTTATACTATAGCCTTGTTTACAGCCTTGTTATACTACAGCCTTGGTTATACAGTCTTGGTTATACTACAGCCATCGTTATACTACAGCCTTGGTT